AAAGGAATATTGTGGGACTGTTCAGCTTCAAGGTTGTATATGGTTAAATTTTTGTACATATGTGTAAACATGAGAAGTATATAATTCTTTATGCCTATTTTAAAAATATATTCTAATTTTTGAATGTTTTTTCATCATATTCTGTAGGGACTTAAAGTTCAACATATCAATACTTGATAAAAAATACCTGTTCCATGTTATGCCTAAGATGTTTGGTATGTAGACAGATAGTGAGGTTAAGTTTTATGGTAATAACAATAAGCTTGTCTTCTGGATGATTAACAACATAAGTTTGCAGACCAAAATTAGAGAAAAAGAGGGCTTCAAGGAAAGTCAACATTTTGTCCCTAGCCTTCCAAGGTCAATTAAGACTCAGGACATATGAGAACTTGTATTTTAATGTCATGTAACTCGGTAGTGTCCCAAATTTTCTGATCAAGGAGATTAGTTTCTTTTACATTATTTTATGTCTATAGTATTTAAAATTTGTAATAACTAAAACTATGAAGATGTTTTAATATATGCGACAATATTAAAAATAGAGTAAATCCAACTGTTTGAAACTAAGTAGAAAGATGTTTGTTTCTATGTCCTACAAATAAGAAACAAAGATTCTACCTTTTAAATTGCTTTTTAAATATTCTCTCTCTGTCTCTCTGTCTCTGTCTCTGTCTCTGTCTTTGTCTCTCTCTCTCTCTCTTTCTCTCTCTCTCTCTCTCTCTCTCTCTCTCTCTCTCTCTCTCTCTCAGCTTTTTTAAGACAGGTTGGGTGGTGGACTACACCTAGTTTTTAGAAAGCTGAACATGAGGCCTGGTAGTGGGCCAATGCATCTTGAGAAGTATAAAGTTCAGAAGTAAAATCTTAAAGAATGAAAGGGTGACAGAAGGAACCCCAGATAGCATATCATAGATCCAAATCAGCTGCCAGAGCAATGAGAAGAGTGGACGGGAAAGGATAAACTGAAAAAGTTTAGAACAGAAGGAAGGGAAAGAGAGAGGTAAAGAGAAAGAAGGGAAAGACGGAAGAAAGAGTGGAGCGACTATGGGAAATAGACAGGGAGGAAACAGGGAGAAGAATTGCACAGGGTAGCAAATGTGTTAATCACCTCTTCAGTATATGCAACATATTTTGACTTAGAAGGTAAGTCAGCTTGTGATATATTTAGGCATCTTAGGCAGAAGAAATGCAGTAAATTAATTAAACAAAAGGCCTTTGTGACTATAATATTAGGCAATTTTTATAACTTCCAAATTCTAAACTAGTAAGGAAGCTAGTACACTTAAAAAAGAAAAAATTTTATTTTCTAAGAATTCCCTTCTGGTGTCCAAGTACTTGGATTATATTTTAGGAGATCTCCACTCTGAAACTTAACTTGCATTCATAGATAGAAAAGAGAACAAGCATAGATGAACATATGACTTTGCCAATTTACGCAAAATTATAACATTCCCTCAACATAAATTGAGAAAATCATATCACATTGAGATAATACACAAATATGTAATCATCTCCATCTGTGGATTCTGCCATTGCTGCAGAAAATAAAAAAATTTAAACATTCCATTACCGCTTACCATGTGCCTTTTCTCTGCTTAAGGAGAACAATGTCAGTTCAAGCAAAGAATGATACTTACTTGCAAGTCATGAGATGTAGTCAATTTGTTGGGCAGGAGAAAAGCACAGAGCAGTTAGTTTTCCTTTATATGGAATGCTAGGCACCAGATGTATATAGCATTTGGTTTTCAATGTACATTGCATAATTATATGTCTTGGGGACAGGTTGCAAGCCTAACCACAAAATTGATTTCTAGGTCATATGCACTCTACATTATTGTGAAGATAAACTTACATGATTTTTTTTCTGCATTTATATTTTGACTGCAGCCCATCACATGAGGTCAGGTGTGGAAGTTTCTATGCTTGTGATGCCATTGTTCTAAAAATCTTTTGAATTTTGGAGCCACTAGAATTTTAGATTTTTCAGCTTAAGAAGGCTTAACATTTCTTTCTATACTGCCTCTGCCTCTTGTGGTTGCATGTTCTTTAGGAAATTCACTTAGCCTGTAATCATTACAGTCATAACACAGAAAATGGAATGATTATGTGTGATCTGCCTAATTTAGACTCTGATTGTAAGGGTTGGAGGTGAACGTAAATTGCTTTCAAGATGAAAGTTAATAATTTTTAAGAGGCCCTAGTATTTACTATCCTCATACAGCTGAAGGTGTTAATGAAGTAAAAAAAAATAATTACTTTGAAGTTGCATTTATTTTCTAGACTGCTCTTTTCTTTTAAACAAATTGCTGAGGCTCCCATATGCCATAGCTTTATTAGGGTTAAAAATGTGGTAGTGTTCTGTAAATTAAAACAGAAAAGTGTTTGTGTAGCTATAACTCTTAAATTATTCAGACTTTTAGGGAAAGGAAAATGGTGTATGAATCACTGTAATCTAATCTAGTAAAGGAAGTGTCTTGTAATTCAACAAAAATACATAAAAACAGTGGCAATGGGGGTGTTTCCAAGGCTGTTTAAAGATCCTTTTCTTGTGCAGTGTAGACAACTAGCTCTTGTCTTGATAGGGGAATGTCTTTTTGCTTTTCTTGTTGTTGAAACAAAATACCCTGTACTCACCAGATAAAGGAGCATGGACCTATTTTAGCTCACTATTGGTAGAGGTTTCAGTACACAGTTGGCTGGCTTCAAGGCAGAGCAGCATGGCAAAGGAGGAATAGTCCATGGCAGGGCAGGCAGAGTGCAGTGAAGGGAAGAAGGGGCGGAAGATGCTCTTTCCCTTTTATCCCATCAGCCTTAAGCCTTTTGGGTGGTATTACTCACAGCCAGATTGGGGCCTCCCATTATCCGCACCCAGCACAATGCTAAACAAATCAGTCCACTAATTTAGTTATCATACCCTTAACACATATTCACAAACCCTAGATCACAATCACAAACCCCAGGTCTCATGACTTCTGAAAGCCACACCTGTGAGCATATGAGTAGTGACATCTGGGTACAAGGCATAATGGGGCCTCAGAGAAAGAAAATGCAGGAGACAAAAAGCAGAATTTTCAGAGACTGATCCTAAATGGAGCCATCTCAGACCAAGAAGAAAGGGCAGACGCACTACCTAGATGAAGCTCCTTCTTCTTGCCTTTCAGAATTTTAGGTGCTTTAGTTCTTTCTCTTTGCATCAGTTTTGTCCAATCTTCACTTTTTCTTAACTTTCCATTCTCATCTCAGAAAAGGCCAGGAGTTTAATTTAAAAACTGTTAAGCTAAAACTGGCCAGACCTGAAGCACCCGCTCCAGGGGTTCCCTCTATGGCACGTCCTCTTCAAACCAGTCTGTTTGTGTCTAACGAAGAACATCATGCCCAAGTCAGGCTGTGGAAAGTTACAGAGGAGTAGACACAGAAAAGAAGCAGGCAGGAACTTTGGGCCTTTTTCAGAGCCCTTATGATCTGAAGAAGATGAGTGTGCTTGGCACAAAGGAGATCTTTAGGAGTAGTGTCACAGCGGGATAAAACTGACAATACCTACAACACAAAGAGGAGACAGCAAGACAGCAAGCCAGTTGCCAAAAAAAAAAAAAAAAAAAAAAAAAAAAATCTACATCTCAGAAGTTTTACTGAATATAACAGGCATCTGGAAACCACTCTGAAGGCATCGTCAAAGGGGAAGTACTCTACAATGCCAACTGTGGCCAGCAGGAAAGGTGCTTGTCTGCAGGCCGGAGCGAGACAGAAATGTCACATTTCTGTCTGTCATGCCTCAGCTGCAGAGCTGGCCACAAAATCTGGGTCAAAGCCTCATCAGTGCTCCTGAGGAGTAGTGTGAAATTAAACAAGCTATGTTTTCCATGCTTGAGCCAGGAGATAACCCAGCAGCACAGGACTTTCCTCGCAAACGCAAGGTCCTGAGTTCAATTCTCAGTAAAAAGAGAGAGAGAGAGAGAGAGAGAGAGAGAGAGAGAGAGAGAGAGAGATTCAAGTTCTACATTTTCTTTTTTTTAAAATTATTTAAGACCTTTATTAACAGGTGCTTGGAGTTTGTTGACTTTTTTGAAAAAATCAAGTTGTAAACTTTTATTACAAATTAAAAATGAAGTTCTTAAAAATCTCAACTTGACCAGATATGAAACAATTTAAAAACCTTTAAAGGTGTATTGAGAAAAACCAGGCTTTTTTAAAAAACAAGTTTGTCATTACCAAAAAGAGACATCTTTAGGTAAAAATAATAAAAACCCCGTGCTGCATAGATAATGCAGATAGTTCTAGTTATCTGGCCAACGCCAACGGGCAAAAAGCAAGCACTTAAGGTCTTCAGTCCCAATCTTTTGTTCATTTCTTATTGCTGGAATTTCCTATTCGTTTCTTTCTTGCTGGATGACTAAACTGGATGATGGTAGAGCGTTTACTCAGCCCCGCCCTGCTCAGCCTTGGGAGTGGATGAATTCTCAGCTGGTGGACGGCTGCTTCTGTCTCTTTGCCATCTTGTGGTTCAGGGTTTTCTGGGCATTTGCATCGGTAATTGAAGTTGCGACGGTACCGACGTTGAGGTGGCTGCTGACCTTGGGTCTCATCTCCTTGATTTTCCTTATCTTCTTCATTGCCATCCTCTCTAGGCTGTCTTTGGCGAGGAGGGCTCCTGCGGAATCGGGGTCTATAACCTCGATACATATTCTGTCTCACTTGTCTACCTTGTTCTCCTGCACCCTGGCTGTCAGCACCCTCCATCACTTCTCCTTGCACAGGAGGGTTGGAATACTGTGGTCGATGCCCATCGGGTCTCCGCAAGTAGTAAGGTGGGAACCTTCGCCTGCGGTAGGGCCGGCGTTGTTGGGCCTGGCCTTCGGGAGCGCTCTCCGATCCCTCATTCTTTTCCCCACTCTCACTATTCTGGTAATTCTGCTGGTAATTGCGTGGAGGATCCCTACGACGTGGATAGCGTATATAATGGTTATGGTCTGCTGCATATTTACTGTCTTGAACTGGAACTCCACCAGGGCCTGTAACATTTGCTGCCTCCGCACCCTTTTCTCCTTCAACAACATCAAACTCCACAGTCTCTCCATCTCCTACACTGCGCAGGTCCTTCCTGGGGTTGTTCTTCTTTATGGCAGCCTGGTGTACAAATCCATCTTCCCTGGTGTCATTCCTGTTGATGAAGCCATATCCGTTTCTTTTTTTTTTCAAAGTTTTATTGATAAACAGATAGCAATGAGACAGTTTCAAATCCAATCAGAAGTACAGTTTCAACAAATAATACACTGCATATATTCTTCTTAGTGGTTAATTGCTGTACAAGATGCGGACTTGTGATCCTATTTACAAACACCATTAGAACAAATCATTCTATTCATTAAGAGAATGCAACTATATATCTATCCCAACCTCTTTGAATACACAGATACAAAATGGACATTCATAGGTATACCCCATTTTTTCTAAGTTCTGTTATTGAATATTATAGGTGTGTAAACTCAGCAAAATATTCTAAAAGAGTCCAGTAGCCCATAATAGCATTGGGTCTTCTGTTTAACTGGCATATCCGTTTCTTACATTAAACCATTTTACTGTTCCTAAAACCTTCGTTGCGATGACCTTCTTGTCCCCGCCGGCAGGCGCCGCCGAGGTGAGGCCGCCCTGGCCGCCGCTCCCTGCGCTGCTGCCCGTGGTGCCGGGCTCGGTGTCAGCAGCGCTGAGGGCGGGAGGGGCGGGCGGCTGCTGGCTCTCGGCCTCGCTGCTCACGGTTGCGGTGATGGTGACGGGCCGCTGCGGCAGCTGCGGCTCCTCCCGGTGTGTGATGGTAACTAGGCCGGCGGCGGCGGTGGGGCTGCTCAGGGCTCTCTGGGGTCCGCTCTCCACTCCCGATACCAATCGAATTCAAGTTCTACATTTTCTATGCCTCACACCTGTCATCAGATTAAGATCTTTCTACCTTGATTCTCTACCACAGTGTCACAGTTGTGATAAAATTAGAGTCTAATCTGTATGAGCTATGTAGTCTCATAATATTTAAATTAACATCACTATTATCACAGCTATCTAGGAAGAGAAAGTGAGATGAGGCAGAGCAACCTCATTTCTTCTTTGTGGGCCTAGGTGCCAAATGTCACCTGTTAGCCAGAATTGTATGTGTACAGTGATTTTTAATATACTATAATTACATTTTTAGTACATCTGATTAATAATTTTGGCATAATTAGCTTATTTTATTGTATAACTTACACTATAATATTGTCAAGAGCCAGCATTTTTAGTAATAGAGATTTTGCTTTAATTTTTGCATTTTTGCTAAAAGGCTTAAGCAAGGTCCCCCTGGATGCATAAAAGTTGCCACTGCGTGAAAAGTATAAGAGAACAAATCTGTGGCACAGCCTGCCATGACTGGATTAATCCCTCACTGCCAATATTTGTTCTCATAGTCTCCTGGTCTGAAGATGTGAGGTTTGCACTTGTTCCTCCCCCTTGCAATTCAGTACTCCACAGTGTTAAACCACGAGTATCAACTTTCCTAAATGGGAATAAAAAGGCTTATTCTTAAAGACCAATGAAAAAATGTGAACACACTGCAAGGTAACTTTCAAATGCTGGTGTTCTCCAAGAAGTCCTTTGGAAAGAATAATTTCTCAATTGCCAAAGTTAGTAGTGACAGACATTTTATTAAAAGCTTCGGTAATGGAAAATGCATAGAATTCTGTATATTCACTTCAATTTCTCTGCGTTGAAATTTTAGTTACCACTAATGTATTTAATAATGAATTTTTAGGACATGAAACTATGAAATAAGACACTAAATTAAGAAATGCTTCATTTCAAAGGATTCCAAGTATGATCAGAATGTTTTTAGATCCATGTTTTTAGTACCAGAAGCATTTTGAAATTACAAAGTGGGAAGATGAGAGATATAGAATTTCTCCTCAATCTTACTACTTAAAACTGTAATGTTTTATAAAATCAACAAATAATTCTGTGTTGGTTACTTTCGCTTGTTGCTGGAACAAAATACCAGACACCCAAAACTAAGGAAGGAAAGGTTTATTTAGCTCACAGTTAGTGGAGGTTTCAGTCCATACTCAGTGGACTCCAAGGAATAGAATGGCCCATGGAAAAGGGCAGCAGTTCATGCAGGCTGAAAACAGCAAAATGGCAAGAGTGAAAAGAGAGGAGCAGAGGCTGCAGTAGCTAACCAGCCTCTTTCCTTCCTTACATTGTACTCAGGCTATCTGCGCCAGGACAGGTAAAGCACTCACACCCAAAATCCTAGCATTGGATCATGAACTAATCACAAACTGTAGAAGCTGACCCAATGACTGCATGAGGTTTTGGGGCTCAACTAGATACAAGCCATAACATATTTGATATTAAACTGAGTGATTTCTTTCTCCATAAGCAGAGGGAGATATGTCCCAAATATAAAGGTTCACAATTCAGAGAAATAGGTTACAAATAACAAACATCTCAGACTCAAAGATTAAACATCCCTCTTATTGAACTCCCTTACTACTTGTAATGTCCCCTTTATCTAACTTTTCTTTTCTCAGCAACCTCTTCTGAGAGCTAGCACAAAAATACCTACCAACTGCTTGTTCACCATGGCTATGGTTTGAATGTTCTCCCAAAATGCATGTACTAGAAGCCATTCCCAGTTTACATATTAATGGCACTTAGTGGGGGAGGCTCCTGGAACATAATTAGGGTGAAATAACATCATGAAAGTGGGACTCCCATTATGGCATTAATAAAATGTAAGAAGATGAACAAAAAGACCTGTGTTTGCAAACACTCACTGTCTCATCGTGTGATATTTTCTGTCACGCTATGACACAGGAAGCGAACTCTCACCTTGACCTTGGACTTCTCAGTCTCCAGAACCATGAGAAATCAATTCATTTGATTTATAAATTACCTAGTCTTGGGCATTTCTTCTGTCACAGCAACACAAAATGACTGAGTCAGACACCATCGTTTTATTTTATTCTGAGTTATGTCCTTGACTGAAAAGTTTTACTTTATTCTTCTAAGTCTCACAACAACCCTTCGCCTGTGACAATTTCCAGTCTAAAAGATCTGTTCTGAACTGCTAAAATAATACTCTCCTTCACCCTATAGCCTAGTTTTAAAGAGAGAACTTCAACACAGATTTATTAATAACTAAAATCACACAACCAATTATTTAGTGAATGCATAGTACAAAAGCAAATAAGGTATACTAATAAACAAGAGTGCACTGGGAGAACCACTAAGGTTTGAAATATTGAATTCATCATTCAGATATTGCAGAAGAATTCAGCAAATAAATAAGTGGAGATAATCAGTGACCCTGGCCATTTCTTCAAGTCAGACTGAAAACACATTAGAAGCTCAAACTAAAATCACTGTGCTGTTTTCCTGGTATTCATCCTATTTCCTAAGAGTCCTGATTAGCTTTGTGCCTCAAAAACCTGCCTTCTCAGTACTGCAGCTTCATTAGCAGCCCTCAAAGGCCTAGTTATCTCCGGGGTTCCCTGCTCGCCTGAGGAGTTCTGGAGACCCTGAGCAGCATAATGGGATATAATGGTCATATTTTTTTCCATGCCAGCGCCCTCTCTCTCCTGATCCAGCTGGGTTCTCTGATCCAGTAAATCCTAACTGTACCACTGCTCATATCAAGGTCTTTAATAAAAGTTACAGTCCTTCTATCCAAATTTCTGATGTTGTCACTTATTTGGACACACTGAAACATTTTTGAGTTTCTCCATTATCCACCCATCTTATATACAAACTCATTGGTCCTGGAAGATTTTTCTTGCTGTCATAGGAAAACAGTTCAACTGTTATCATTTTATTCTACTGGTAATGTGATACACAATTTTATAGTTCAGCAGTTTTAAATAATGCATTTTGAAAATAATATGAATAACTACAAGTTCAAGCACAGAATTGTTAACAGACCATAAAAAGTACTTTTTATGTAAAGTATCGCCCTTTGCTTTCTCATCATACTCTTTACCTAAGTACTGTTTTGATGCCTCTGTGCAGTAATAATTTCATTTTTGAACTTTAAAAGAAACCTTGATATGACTTAAGCATCTGCTTAGCCACGGAGGCATAACCTTTCTTGAGCGTTGGTGCCAGGGCATATTAACTGGGCTCCCTGAACATTTTATGATTTCTCACAGCATATTTTAATAAATTAAAGGTAATGTAAAACATTTACAACCTAAATAGTAGAGAGGTTGGAGATATAATAAATTAGTTATAAAACATTTTTTATGGCTGAGTGTTTTCCCAAATGGAAGTAGTGGAATCTCAGAATCTGTAGCTTTTATGCAGTGAGAATAAGTAAAAGGAACTAGAAACTTTAGAAAAGGATGCAGAATGAAAAAACCCGTTGATTTTCTATCATTCTTCCTCACCAATGATTTGTCAACAAGGCTGAGCACACAGGGAGGATAGAGGAGAATACCCTCACCTTCAAACTGAAAGGGACAGAAGTAGAGAGGGAGACTGGCTGAGAAATAGTTATGAAAGTTTATTTACATACTTTGCATGCATGTACCTGGGAAGACAGAAAAAAATTCTTTCAGGTTGCAGATTAAACAGAGAAATGTATGACTTACGTTCTTCCCATTTAGGTGAAAAATTTTGCATAAAGAATTCTAAACTCTGAATCGAGGAAAGTTGGGTTCAGTAATAACCCTATATTTTTGCTAGGTATCAGTTGCATGGCCTTGGGCAAATTATTTAACCTTCTTTGGGCTGACTGACCTTCTCTATAGTATTAATGTAGTAAAAACTGAGATAGAAATCACAGTAGTCTGATGGTCTTGCTCATCGGAGGCCTGCCTAAATGTAATACACATATTACATATTGCGTACAGGTCTTGGAAGAACTGACCAAGAATTGCTATCAGGAATGTTACTTATAAACAACACTGTAGACTTCTGGGCCAAAGGAAAACAGGGAAGGAACTGGCAAAAGGATAGAACCTACTGAAACTTGAATTTATGGTAAAAAAGGAATGAAGGTGATCCTGGACCACGTAGGAAGCTGCAATAAGGGCAGAATTTGAGAGGGATGAATGTTTGGGGTCTCAGCTTTCATCACTGATGTGTGAGCTGCTAGGAGGAGGATGTCAAGTGCACAAGCTAAGGGCTTGTGCTCTTGTCATGTCCCAGGTTCCCCTAACAGAAGCAACTTAATCCAAGAGATTGTTCTTTTCTTCCTGGAGTTTGTTCTAAAATATCCCTTCTTACTATGAATTAAATGGCCTGTAAACTATGATAGCTATGGATAAGATTATCAGATCTGTTTTAGTATAAAGATTATCAAGTTGAAAAACATTTTTGTATTTAAATTGTTATGTTCATCTCTACATTTTTTATTAATAAGATGTATTTCAATGTCAAGAGAAAAAAATAAAAACTAAAATATCCCTCCTGGTGGTTGGATTGATTTTCAAATGCAAGATTTTTTTGGTTAAAAAGAAAAAGAAATTACTCATTTTATCCCCTCATAGATTTATAAACACAGTTGTTGAATATTTCATCAAGCCCTTGAAAATTGTGTTTGTTACTTAAGGATTCGTCATGAAAAGATTTGTCCTTGGTTTTGTTATCCTGCAATGATTTCTTAGCTAGGCATCTGAGTATTAATAATGTCTCTTCAAAATCTTAGCAATATGACTCATAGAATCTGTTTCATTATGGTAAAATTCAAACCACAGATACACCTGCTGAGGGTATCAGTCTAAAAGTTTGCAGCTACAGAAGCCCCTTGAGGGCATCAGTCTAACCTACCCGTCAAGGTTGAAAAAGAAAGAAAGAAAAAGAATACTTTGCAATTGAGGAGCTCTGGGATGACCCAATTTTCTCTCTGGAACAAAAGCTTTAATCTCCCAAAGCTCAAAGCTTTTATTGATATCAGTCAGGGAGGTGGGTGGGGGTCAGGGCAGAATGGACAGGGAAAGAAACACTGTAGGCACACCAGGCATAGAGTCCTCTGTAGGGAGTGACTGAAGCTGGAAATACTTTGGTCCTGCAAAAAACATCTTGCCTGAGACAATTCCAGTCATTAGTTGCTAGGCAACATTGCTGTCTCCTGAGTCTCCTGATACTAACTTTGTAAAAGTATAAATAAACACTCCTAGTGCATTTCCTCAGCTCCTCTTCTTCCACCTAGAAAGAGGGCTCCTCCTGACCTTAGTTTTTGCCTCTTTATTTTTCTGAATCTCTCCACTGTCTTCTCCTGGGACCATAAGGACCATCAAGAGCAGTGCAGGTTGTGGCAGGCCTCCAATTAGCAATGCATATATGGTTTTACTGTGTGCAAGGCTGGCACCTTTACTGCCAGGAGCATGTGTTTCAATATAGCCAGCTCTACATATGTCAATAAATATGGTGAAGGAGAGTTCAGGGACAGGTTGTGGCCAGGGCTTTGTTTTTCAGGAGACAGCAGCATGGTGGTCTCCCACTTGAAAACTGCAGTTTTTTGAAAAGCCGAAAGACTGACACTGGAGGTCTATTCTTTCAATCTCATCTTGGAACCAGCCTTGTATGGTATCATAAAGCTTCTACTGAACTCTCCCCTTAGAGTCTTTCTGTAGACTGAAATCAGATATCCTGCGAGTTCCACTTTGTTATTCCTGCATTGTAAGTCTTAGCTGAATGAGCATGAAAGAAGACAGCCAATGTGGATTCATACACCCACAAGGAATTGAGTCCCTGAGGCTGGGAACCTCCCTCTTTCTACTTCTTTTCTATGCTTTTTAAGGGAATACTTATCATCTAGGCAAGAGCTGAGAGATATTCCCTGCTTTTTAAGAAGTGGTAATTAAGATTTGTTTCTCTATTTCAGTATTGTGTGCAAGCTTGAGAACTGAATGCCTTGTCTACAAGCTGACTTAGTGCCCTAGCATAAAAGAGGGAACTGGAATTCTTTGGAGTAAGTATACACTTATAAGACAAGCATCAGCTCATCAAAAAAGACTCAAATCATCTGTCAATATCAAGTTAAATATTAATAAAACACTATTAAAACGTATGTCAATGTATTCATTGCTTCACACAAATCTAAAATTACTAACAAAAATATTCATTGGAACAAAAAAATAGATGTATCTTTGGGACTAAATAGTAAAACAGGGAAACTTGTTTACTTGAAATCCAGTCTGATTTGGTTCAGTCTACTTTAATAAAATACTTTAGATTGGGTAATTTAAAATCAAGGAAAATATTGCTTACAGTTCTGGATACAGGGAAATACAAATTCAATCACCAAGAGATATGGAGCCTACTAGGTCCTATTTTTCATAGATGGGCCCTTCTGTGTATACGTAATAAAATCAGGAGGACACCTTCAACCCTTTTGTGGGGCTTTTAATAGTATGCACCTCCCAGAGGCCTCCCCTCTTACCACTATCACTGAGGGACTTAATCCAAAGCACAAGACACGAAAGGTAATTTACTTACCAGTGAAATTTTGATATAGAAGAGGAATATCAAAGGCTGTATCTCACCAGACGTTCCAACCAATTGTTCCATGGGATTAGTTCTAATTCTCTTTTTTAAAAATAGAATTAAGATTATCAGTACTTTTGCATAGACATAATGATC